AAATATGTCACATGATAAGAGAGGAAGAAAAAGAAAAAAATGGGAATGACACGCTCTTTTTAAAAACTAATCCATTCCCATGGGGGTAAAAATCACAAGTCATTGCAGTTGGAGGGCCTTAATCTTTTCATGCGCGATCCACTGGGAAAACCCAAGATCCCCTATCAAAAAAAAAAAAAAAAAAAACTTGGTGCCTGTAGCTTAAGTGGCTAGGGCACCAGCCACATACACCGGAGCTAGCGGGTTCGAATTCAGCCCAGGCCCGCCAAACAACAATGACAACTATAACCAAATAATAGCCGGGCATTGTGGTGGGTGCCTGTAGTCCTACCTACTCGGAGGCTGAGGCAAGAGGACCGTTTAAGTCCAAGAGTTTGAGGTTGCTGTGAGCTGTGAAGCCACAGCACTCTACCCAGGGTGACAGCTTGAGACTGTTTCAAAAAAAGAAAAGCTATAGGTTATTCTTTAGGCTGAAGAGAAACAATGAGTAAGAAGGCTATATGCTGCAATCTCAAGAATCTAGGAAATCTCATAGAGAGAACACAATTCTCTCACGTGTTCCTAAATTCAAATCAGCACTGAAAAGTTAGTCCCAGTTAATTTTAAAAATTAATTAATTTTAGACTTCTGGTTAAATATGGCAGACTACCTCATATGGTAAGTTCTTCTCTCTCCTGAAACTCCAATAAAGTTAGATAAAGGAATAAAAAAGGTACAAGTGATAGGAAAGAATCTGTCAACGATGAGAAATTTCAGATGAGGAAGTGACTGGGAGAATGGTAGCAATGCGAGCACAGGGCCGACAGCTACAACTCAAGTACCATGAGAATGAACTAATTTGTCCTAAGAGATTAAAGAACTGAGAATGAGAGCTGGGAATGTCAGAATGAAACTGGGGCTGAAAATGAAAGAAACAGTTGAAATCTACATCTTAAGATTTTGTCCCCAGACAGATCTGCCTTCCAGGAAAATGGAGGTTGATTAATTTGGGTCACGGGGACTTGCTCTGTAATGGGGACACAACTTCAGTCTCGGATGATGGCAAAGTTCTAGAGAGTCAAAAACAGCCTTTAAAGATATTAAATCAAGTAACAGAAGTATGAAAGAGGGTATAATAAAGGTCTACACTAATATAAATAACATAATCGTTAAATCTAGAGAAGAACAGAAGGGGAAGGAAATGAAATGAAAATAAAGCCAATTTAGTAATCGCCCGTGGAGGGAAGTCAGTAGACGTTAACTGACGAAACGTAGAAGTAGGCGTATTACAGAAAATCACGGTTACTAAGGTAACCACCGCACCAGACCCAGGAAGAAAGAAGAAACTTGGTCTCCAAAAGTAATTATAAATTAAGTGTTAAAAAAAGTATGCAACAGTGTGTATAATATGCTTCTACTTTGTGAAAAAAATAACAACATGTATACAAATGCACAAAGACATACATGTGCTCACACACAAAGACCACACTAGAAACTAGTAATAGCAAATAGTCCTGAGAAAGAAAACTGGTTGGCGGGGGTCAACATGAAGGAGAGCGACTACCTTTTCATTTTATACGCTTTTGTACCCTTTAAATTGTTTGTCATGTGTATATATTTCCCATTCTGAAGAATAACATAATAAAATTAATTAACACGATGGTCACTTGTGTGTCAAAAAAAACTTAAAATGGAAACAGGGAAACTGGGCATGTATTTTAAAAGATTATAATCCACAGCACAGTTTCTCCTATCCTTTTGTCCTCAGGTTGCCAGGAGGTAGCCATATTATTCCCTTTCAGGGGCATGCAACCGTGGCCAGCTCCAGCTATGAGTGCTTATCTGTGGTGTCAGATATCATAAAAATTATGCACAGATCTTTTTTTTTCTCATTAAGTTTTGTTAGTGTTTATTATTTAATGTGTGGGCCCAGACAACTCTTAAATAAGCATTCAAAGCCAGCTAAGGGACACAGTTGGACGCCCCTCTTAGATTGAAGACTGATTCTTCTCCTGAGAACTAATAGTAATATTTGGAAATTCACCAACAAAAAGGCCATTTCAATTCTTAATCATCACTATAGAGTCTGCTAGGCAATAAAATCAACTGTGCACACAAATCCTCCAAATGGTGTTTTAGTGCCTCATTTAAAAATGTGAGCAGACAACCAAAGTTCCCTAGGTATTTGATGAAAGCTGTGTACATAAAAGAGTGTAGCCCAAATAAGCAAAAAGAATAAAGAAATCTGGAAAAAACCATATATAGGTTAGAGGAAAACTTCAGACATCTATAATTAAAATCCTTAAATAGGCTCGGGACCCATAGCACAGTGGTTACAGTGCCAGCCACATACACCAAGACCGGCCGGTTCAAACCCAGCCTGGGCCAGCTCTGACAACTGCAACAGAAAAACAGCTGGGCATTGTGGCAGTCGCCTATAATCCCAGCTACTTGGGAGGCTGAGGCAAGAGAATTGCTTAAGCTCAAGAGGTTGAGGTTGCTGTGAGCTGTGACACCAAGGCACTCTACCGAGGGCAACATAGTGAAACTGTCTCAAAAAAATGAAAATAAAATAAAATCCTTAAATAGATCTGAGAAGGTACCAGATTCACAAATAAAGAACCAGATGCTACAGAAAAGAAATAATCAGAAAATAAAAAGACTGCTTATAAATGCAAAATATCAACATAACGCATTTTTTTAAAATGTACTAGAAAAATTTGGACAGTAAGGTGAGGAAATCTAAGAAAGTATGGCAAAATGACAGAAAATAAAAATAGAGGAAACCTAGAGGACCCATCCAGGAACAGACAGGAATTGCAGAGGGGGCAGAGAAAGAACGAAAGAAAACGCCCCAGAAAACAAAGACATGGACCTCTGAGCCGAAAGGGAGCACTGAGAAAGAAGCGCACCACATGAATGAACGACCACCCTGAGGTGCGCCATTCAAAAATTTCAGAACACCACAGACTACGAGATCCTAAAGCCTTCAGAGAGAGAAAAAAGATAAGTACAAAAAATTTTAATAAAACATTGAGCTTCTCAAGAATAAAACTGAAAGCTAGAGCAAGGCTGTCAAAATTCTGAGGAAAAAAAGATTTAGGGAGGCGCCTGTGGCTCCGTAGGACACCGGCCCCATATACCGAGGGTGGCGGGTTCAAACCCAGCCCTGGTCAAACTGCAAACAAAAAAATAGCCGGGCGTCTGGCAGGCGCCTGCAGTCCCAGCTACTCAGGAGAATCGCCTGAGCCCAGGAGCTGGTGGAGGTTGCTGTGAGCTGTGTGACACCACAGCACTCTACCAAGGGTGATGGAGTGAGATTCTGTCTCTACAAAAAAAAAAGTAAAAAGAAAAAGCTGGTAAAATATACACTTTTTTTTCAGACAGAGCCTCAAGGCGTCACCCTGGGTAGAGTGCCATGGCTTCACTGCTCACGGCAACCTCCAACTTCTGGGCTCAACCGAGTCTCCTGCCTCAGCCTCCCAAGTAGCTGGGACCACAGGCGCCCACTGCAATGCCCGGCTATTTTGGTTGCAGCCATTATTGTTGTTTGGCGGGTCCCGGCTGGATTTGAACCCGCGCAGGCTGGCTAGAAAGTCCTATGCTTGTATAGTACTGCTGAGTCCAGAATTTGAACTTCATGAATGTCAAAATGGAAAGAAGCTGGTGGGTAGTGGGAGTACCAGCTACTTGGGAGGCTGAGCCAGGAGGATCACTTGAGCCCAGGAGTTCAAGGCTACAGTATGCTATGATCAGGCTCCAGCCTGGGCAACATAGCGAGACTCTGTCTCTTTAAAAAAATAAAAGTGGAAAAAAAAAAGTGAAAAGACAAACATCATTATTTATATTGTTACATTATTTATACTGTATAATTATTGTATAATAATTTCCTGGAATAAGCAAAATATCTCCATACTTTGCTAACATGAATCTCTCGCACAGTTCAATCACTATTATCACCGTACAGAACCAGTACATACCCAGAACAACACCACGGGCACGGCATTTCCCCGGGTGTGCAGGCTCCGGTTCTGTAAGAATAAGATCTTCAACAGCTCCTTCCTGAACAGTAAGCAGCGGGGTATTCAGAATTTCTTTCTGTCAAAAGAAAATGCCAGATGAAACACAGCAGAGAGGCTTGGCACCTGTGTGAAGGTGCCAGCCACGTACACCTAAGGTGG